CTGGGACTGATCATGCTGGCATAGGTACTCAATCGGTAGTTGAACAAAAACTGTTTAAAGAGAAAAAGGTACGAGCAAGTATCAAAAAGTCAATTTTTATGCATACATGAAAATCTCGAAGTTTTTGATAAATTATAGTCATGTAAAAAAAAATTACGGATTGTATGTATAGTTGACGCGTCATGATCTTGGTCGGGAAGCTTTCATAGAGCAAGTTTGGATTTGGCGCAAAATTCATGGGGATCGTATTTTTGAACAACTGGTAAAAATAAATCAATTGTCAAAAATATATTTAATATACCTAAATAGTTATATTTATCATTAGAAAAGACTTGGCGCTTCACTGCATTGGAAAGAACTGTTCTTTACCATGGATGAGCCTAGATCAAAAGCAGTAACCAACGCGTTTATAAGACTCTTTGAAGATGGAATAGTGTATAGAGATACGCGTTTTGTTAATTGGTGTTGTGCGTTGGAAACAGCCATTTCTGATATTGAAGTAAAAATCTTTTATTATTCATCATATACCAATTATAAGCCTAATAATTTGAGATTTTTTAATATAGTTTTATTGTTATTGCAAAGGTAGATTACCAAACTATTGATAAACCCATGTTTCTTAAATTACCTCGACGCGATAAAGGGTAAAGCGATTTATTTTTTATTAACCAAAAAATTCTATTAGAAAAATATAATCAATAATTAAAATATTAATTTAGAGTTGAATTTGGTGTGCTTCATGAATTCGCTTACCTCGTCGCGGATGATTTGGGAAATCACCAAGAACTGATAGTAGCGACTACTAGAATAGAGACGATGTTAGGAGATGTTGCGGTGGCTGTTCATCCTGAAGATCCACGATATAAAGTATTTAACTTTTCATTTTCATTTTTTCATTTATTATTAATTAATAACTGTTGTATATTTTGTAGTCATTACATGGAAGAACGATTATCCACCCTTTTTCCAAGAAACGGCTACCTATAGTATGTGACCCCATTTTAGTAGATAAAGAGTTTGGTACAGGGGCTGTGAAGGTATTAATAATGCGCGATATTTTCACAAATTATATATTTTTTAATGGTTCTTATTTTCTGTAAATGCTACAATTATAAGGTCACACCTGGACATGATCCCAATGATTATAAATGTGCTCGTCGACATGATCTCCCTATAATTAATATCTTAAACAAGAACGGAACCTTTAATGAAAATTGTGGGGTCTCAGAATTCACAGTGAGTCAGTCTCTCGAATTTCTTTCAATTTTTTTTTTATTTGTCTAATCTTCCATTTCTCTTCAGAATAAAGATCGATTTGAAGTCCGTGAACAGATAATAAATAGACTTTCTGAATTAGGCCTTTACCGTGGCAAAACTAATAATCCGATGCGTGTCGCTTTGTGCTCAAGAACGGGCGATATAATCGAACCGTTATTACAGCCACAATGGTAAGAATCATTAGAAAATTAATCTTGAAGCGATATTATTATTAATAAATGATAGTCGTGATATCACTTAATTATTTAATAGGTATATTCAATGTAAAGAAATGGCAGATAAAGCTCTGCGAGCTGCCGAAAAGGGCGATATCATTTTTAAGCCTAGTTATCACATTGAGGAATGGAATCGATGGCTAGGTATTTTGTAAATTTAATATATGTTTATCTGCATTTTGTGAACTGATGTTATTTAACTTAATTATATTTTAGAAAATATACAAGACTGGTGTATTTCGCGACAATTATGGTGGGGACATTCGATTCCCGTCTATCAGTTAATCTTTTCCAATAATATTAAGAATAAAGGTAATATTCCCATAATAGCAATTCAATTCATCTTGATTATATTTATGGATTCTGATAAAATTCTCTTCGACTAAATCATAGTTGAAAATGATATATGGATTGCCGCTAGTTCAAAAGTTGATGCTGAAGAACGTGTAAAACAATATATGCGTCAAAATAACATTCCCCTTGATACACAATATAGCTTGAAGCAGGTGATTTATTGGCACGTATCTTAGATGAGGTTTATAGTTTTTGCAACATTTACTAAAATTCTTTATATATAAAAGGATGAAGATGTTTTAGATACTTGGTTTTCTTCTGCTTTACTTCCATTATCGGCATTGAATTGGACTGGAGATAGCAATATTCCGGTAATAATAAAATATTAAACAAAATTTGGAGGAATAATAATAATAATATTATTATTATTTATTGTCGCCGTTTAGGGGAATTATCCAACCTCGGTGATCGAGACTGGTTTTGATATTCTGTTCTTTTGGGTGGCTCGAATGACAATGCTCTGTACATATTTCACTGGTAAACCCCCATTCAATGAGATTCTTTTGCATGCAATGGTATGAGTTATTATTGTGAGGTGAGAGTGGCTTTTTTGAGTTTTGTGTTGATTTCTCTACGTAATATTCATTTAAATTTATATTTTGTAGGTACGCGATTCTCAAGGTCGGAAAATGTCAAAATCTCTCGGGAATGTAATTGATCCGCTTAATGTTATCGATGGCATCACTCTTGAGAAAATGCAAGAAGCTTTATCTGAGAGTAATCTCGCAACTCACGAAATTGAGAGAAGCGCCGCACTTTTGTCAAAAGAATATCCGAACGGGATAGAAGCCAATGGAGCTGATGCACTTCGATTTACTTTGGTCTCCTCAACACATCAAGTACATACTAGTTTTTTATTTGAAGGTTCACCCTTTTTTTTTTTGGTCAAATCAAGTAATCTTCTAGTTCTCTTTCAGACACGCCAAATCAACCTTGATCTGTCTAATATTGTTGCCAATAGGAATTTCTGCAACAAAATATGGAATCTTTTTAAGTTTTCTCTTCAACAGTTCGACCTGTTAAATCACAAAACAAGTATTGAATTGTCAACTTCTGTTGTGGCATTTGATGTACCTGATAATTTACTTTCTTTGGTGGATCGATATATTTTATCGAGATTGGCTCATACCGTTTCCCGTTGCGAGCGTGGCTTTAATGATCGCGAACTTTATGAAGCTACGGACGCTATTCGAAAATTTATTTGGGAGGATCTTTGTGACGTGTACCTCGAGTTCTCTAAGCCCGTGCTTTATAATAATAAAATTGAGGTTAATGACCTGGTGGGTATAGAATTATTTTAAGCATATTTGATTATAAGGTTGTTGGATTACTAAAAAAAGGTCTTTGATCTTAGCGCCAAAAAATTACACTTCGTGTTTTGGAGCTTTGTCTCGACTCCTCGCTCCGTCTTTTGCATCCATTTATGCCCTTTATTTCTGAAGTAAATAATTTATTAACTCCATTAAATAATCGTTATTTATTTAGAAATTCAATACTCATTTGCTTATGTTAAATCTTCTATTTAGGAATTATGGCAACATCTTTGTTTGTTATCACAGACCAAATCTCATCCTGAAAGTATAATGCTTGCGAGATATCCAAAATCAAAAGACTATATTATCTTTAGAGACGAAAAGATCGAGCAAGACATGCAGGTCAGTTTTCTTGACTTGGTTTAACTTGATTGTGCTCGTTGAATTCACAAATTTTTTTAATAATGGTGGCAGACCGTATTACAAGTAATTCATGCCTCTCGCTCGTTACGACAAAGAAACCATGTGGCTCTTGGTAACAAACTGCCCTTCCTTATATGGTCTGACAAGGATGATTTGTTGAGCTCCCAAGGACCGATTTATAAGTACTTGGACGACATTAGCTCTTTTATTGGTGCCTCTTCGATTGAGATTATTGATGGACGGGTAAATTAAGGAATATTTTTTAAACTACCAATAAGGATATTGTAATAAGATCAATAATATCGAATCTTAAAATTCAATAGGACGGAAATGACAATGAATCATTGCTGAAAAATTCAGTAGCAAGCTCAATTACGCCAAATCTCAAAATACATTTACCAATGAAAACCATTTCAGAATTTCGGAAAAAAAGCGGAGGACCAACAGGATTAGTATCGAAAGAGGAGCAAATAAAGAAGTTGATACAAAAATTGGAGAAAATAAATAATGACATTGAAAGTCTCAATGAATTACAAAGAAAATCAGAATATATTGAGAAAGTTCCAAACGTGGCTAAAGAAAAAGATAGGTAAAAAGCGTTTATTTCCATTTATTAGGCAAAAATTTCATTCGAGTCATTTATTATAAAATATAAATAATTTAATTATTTCAATTTAACTTATTCAGGAAACGGATTGAAAAGTGGACCGAACAACGACGTGATTTAGAAAAAAATATTAAATTGATTGAATTAAGCTGAATTAATTAGAATAATACAAACAATATTTCACAAAGAGCGATAATTATATTATTAATAATTACCATTCATTGTCTTGATGTCTATTTATTCGTTCAATGATATTAGAATAGGATTTCAGAATAAATAGGCAGTCTATTAATCCTTCTCGTTTATACGTTGCAGATGATAATCGATTTCCGACTCGGATAAAGTTCTAAACTTTGGATTATCACTAGTGACGAGTCCAATTTCAATTTCAGTCGCTTTGAAATCAGCAGATAAGACCGTAGAAAGGGTATTAATTGCCAGCTTTTGAAAAAACATTATTAGTTACAATATGTAGAAAATAAAAATATCAATTGAATTTAATTTAGCCCAAAAAAAAATACTTCGATAGAATCATCAGTATTCAAGGCTGGATCTTTTTTTAATTTTTTCTCTAAATGATTCAGTGCTTCTTGTTGTTTAGCGCCAGCTGCGGTGGCTTTGAATCCGCAATAGAAACCAGCAGGATCACTTTTGAAAAGTTGTGGACCTCGTTCATCGTCATAGCCAATTAAAATCATTGCTAATATAAGAATTGAGGTCGGTGAGATTAAAATTTCGAGTCAATTATCGATGTGCATAAATTTCATTGTAGACTTACATACACCCAGAGGTCTCATAGCAGCGTGTTGAGTGTAAACTTGGTTGATATTGGCAATGCGTTTTGCGAGCATATCAGTTGCCATTTCATATCCATTCTTATAGTGAAATTCTGCAGCCTCCGAACGTGCACGTGTTACTTGAGCTCGTGCATCAGCTGTAAAAGAGGACGTGTAAGAAATTCTACCCGTAGAGAAGATTCCCAAGTAAAATATTACCAATTAATCCAGTCATTACACATCCGATATACGGCGTCAGTTGAAATATGTGTGTTACGGTTGCAGGATCAAGCAGCTTATCCTATTATTATAATTGTGTTGTGTGCATGGCCAATCTTACAAATTATAGAAACGTGCACATACGAATCTATCTCAATTCAATTCGATATTGCATCATTCGCAATGTCACATCACATACCGGAATTTTTTTCTGAGTCGCGATGATTACATTGTCTTTACCGCGAACCCCGACCGATGTTATTCCAGAGTTGGATATCGCTTTAAATGCGTATTCTATCATGATTTACATGATACATTAATGTGTGGATGAAACTTTCGGTAAGCATATATACACTAAAGCGCCCCTTTTTTTGACCTACCAACTTGATAAAGTCGCCCTTCAGGCGAAAAAATTGTAATGTGACGGTCATATCCAGCACTTAAACCTAAACCATTATGAAATATCCTTTGTTATCAATTTGTAATGAGACAACTGAGGCCATATCATTAACACTAAAATAAAAGTTTTTTCTCTTTACCACGACTCATGACTTTGAATTAGTTAACCAAAAGCTGCTATTGTTGAACAATAAAATTCTTGAATACCGATCTCGATATGATATGCATAAAATCGCTTGCGTCATCAAATAATTTTGTAGATGTTGATGCGAACATCTATCATACGATACGATATCGATATGTATAGTCATTTGGCAAAAAAACGGATCTTGAATTATTTATTTAAGCACAGGCTCTTCAAAACTCCTTTTTTTTATTCATCTCTTTTTTTGCGCCCCTAATAGATATTGAAACTATAATATACGAGCTTACCTTACCTTTTTCGGAATATTTAACATAATCGAGATTGACTAAGGAAATGGCCAGTAAAATCATTGTCGTTGGAGGTGGCTTATCTGGACTTTCGGCCGCTCATACCGTTCTAGAGCACGGTGGTAATGTGCTTGTGCTTGACAAAAATTCTTTCTTTGGTGGTAATTCAACAAAGGCCACATCTGGAATAAACGGCGCCTTAACAAGAACACAAATAGGTTTGTAGTTGGAACAACAGAACAATAAAATATATTTGTGTGTATGTTGTAAGTGGGAATGATATTGATGGATTCGGGGTTCCACTAAGTGTGGGTTTAGAATCTTAGTCAACACTAATCTTAACCTCTGCCTACTCTAATCGTGCTCCTGTTATCTAATTTGGGCCGATTCCATAACCACATAGATCTATTCCCATTTATAATATATAATGAAATGTTTGGTTACAAATGCATATCGTAAACATTTTCGAATTTTCAATTATATAAATGTAACAATTTTTGTGTTTGAATTTGAACAGCTCTGGGCATTAAAGATTCGGTAGAAGCCTTTGCAGAGGACACCACGAAATCTGCGCGTGACCTTGCACGACCTGACCTAATCAAAGTTTTAACGGGAAATTCGGCCTCAGCTGTCGAATGGCTTCAAGAGAAATTCAAATTAGATTTATCGTTAGTTGCCCGCTTAGGAGGGCATTCACATCCACGTACTCATCGTGGAAAAGAAATGTTCCCTGGCATGACAATCACGTATGCTCTTATGGAGCTTTTGGAAGAATTTGCTGAAAAAGAACCAAATCGAGTTCGGATTCTCAAGAAAGCTCGAGCCACTAAACTCATCAAAGAAGGTGATGCAGTTGTAGGTGTTGAATATGTAAAGGACGGTAATACATTCGTAGAATACGGTCCAGTTATCCTTGCAACAGGCGGATATGCGGCAGATTTCACAGAGGACTCGTTACTCAAAAAATACCGGCCAGATATTTATGATTTGCCAACAACCAACGGCGAGCATTGTACAGGCGATGGTCATAAAATGGTTCTTGCAATTGGTGGCAAGGGAATCGATTTAGAGAAAGTTCAGGTTCACCCGACTGGTTTAGTCGACCCAAAAGAACCCGATGCCAAAATTAAATTCTTGGCTGCTGAAGCACTTCGTGGTGTTGGTGGACTTCTCTTGAATGCAGAAGGCAAACGATTCTGTGATGAACTGGGTCGTCGTGATTATGTCACTGGAGAAATATGGAAAACTAAATCTCCTGTTCGGCTTGTTCTCAATGGCAAAGCGTCAAAAGAGATCGAATGGCATTGCAAACATTATGTCGGTCGTGGATTGATGAGAAAATTTAGCGGAAAAGAGCTTGCCAAGGAAATCGGAATTTCCCCGGCACAATTAAAAGCAACATTTGACGATTATAATGAAATTGCCGAAGGTAGAAAGCAAGATCCTTATGGCAAGAAATTCTTCCATAATCCTCCATTCACATTAGAAGACACATTCCATGTTGCTATAATGAGTCCTGTGTTGCATTATACTATGGTAAATGCTTTATTTATTATCTACTTTAGTGAATTTATTGTTCCTTTTTAATTAAAATACATTGTGAATAAACAGGGTGGTGTCGAGATTAATGGTGACGCTGAAGTCAAGAGCGTCGAAGGTAAAGTTATCCCGGGACTTTATGCCACTGGTGAATTGGCTGGTGGTGTGCATGGTGCGAATCGTCTGGGTGGCTCTTCTCTCTTGGGATGTGTAGTATTTGGGCGTGTTGCTGGAGATTCTGCGGCTAGCTATTTATTGCATAATTTATCTTCCATCGAAACCGCGAATCGTCGTCTTGATCAAATTGCACATCATCTCGGTTCATACGAAACCAAAATTTCTGTAGATCCAAGCTCTCAAAAAGTCAATGTTGAGATTTCTTGGGCTCAGAAAGGATCTGCTGCAATCACATCAACTGCGTCAACTGCTTCTGCACAAACTCAAGTTCCCACATCTACACCCGCAGCCCCGGCTCCGGCCCCGGTGGAGCTCAAATCTTACACACTTGAGGATGTTGCCAAACATAATAAAGAAAATGACTGTTGGGTAGCTGTTAATGGACAAGTATTAGACGTTACGAAATTTTTGCCTGAACATCCTGGCGGCAAGAAAGCTATCCTCCTTTACGCCGGTCGTGATGCGACCGAGGAGTTCAATATGCTTCATGACAAGAATGTATGTATACATTAATTATAATCAAATATTTTTTATGGTTTACTTACATAAAAACTACTTTTTCAATTCAATTTAGGTTATTCAAAAATACGCTCCAGATACTGTAATTGGTAAATTGGTCGAGAGTTAAGGATTTATAGTACGTTAAATCTGACAAATTTTATATTTTACTTGAAGGATTTTGGGAGTAAGATTTTGTTATGTAAAAATGTTACTTTATATACGAATAGAGAATGATATTGTAAATGTTACATCTTTTTTCATTTCGAGATACATGTAGATTTTGTAATAAATATTGTACTGCGCGAATATGAAAATTATTGATAAAACTACTTTGTTTAGGTTAAATGCAATAAGAAACTAAAATGGCAAATAATTTTGTTCTCCATGATTGATCAGGCTAAACGTCTTTATCGTTATAGATTTCAACGCCGCCGCAACCACAAGCCACACCGGCACCAACGTCACGAGATCAAATTTCTCGCGAACTTTCATAAAGAATCACAAAATTATAATAAATATATTTAAAATATCTGCTCTTAAGATTTTAACAATTCGTTGTGGTGTTAAAGAATCTTGCGCAAATAATAGCTACTCGCATAAATTATGTAACTATAAGGCATGAATCCGATTTTGTCGTAGTATAAAAAAAGTGGATGTAAACTTTTTAAATTACCAATCAAGATCAAGATGACGAATGAGAAAGCGACTATTTTTTTATTTGTCACTTTATAACATCGGTGTATGCGCTTTGTCGTCAAATAAACCACCATCTGATAAATGCCGAGCAACGGGGGGCGCAAGCGCTTCAAATATCTGGATTGCAAATTTTATAGAAGCTTAAGAGCATTTTCTGTTCAAAGGGACAAGATGTCGAAGTTTAGAGACACGAATCGAAATTTGTATGATCCAATACTTAGCGTTTCTTGATACTTAGCGTTTTTAACATTAAATATTTCAAAATGTGAGGATCGAACTTTATACTCAAAGAATGGGTAAGAAAAAATCGGTCTTTGCTAATAGACATTTCAATTTATATTATGCGCAATTTTCAGAGCCATAGGTGTCACAATTTCAAATAACTGGAACTTCTATATCGTCTTATAATAAAAAAAGCTTTGTAGATTTGAAATATTTGTTATTTGATCAGTTGAACCTTTATCTTATCAAATATAATTTATATCTCTCAAGTTAATATTATGTCTTTAATAAAGCAACGAGAAACAACCGCCAATGAAATTAAAAATTCATCTCAAAATATTGGTGGCCATAAAAATATAAAATAATTTATAGTCCATGAGAAAAATAACAGTAACAATAATAACAATAATAATACACAAGCAGTAATAATCTAAAAAATAAGGTATTGAAATACAATCATCATATTTGATTAAGAAATAACACAACAACTATTCGTCTAAAAAGCGCAAATTCATAATATTCATATTAATATGGATATAAGGACAACGAGCAAACGTATAAATAGATTAAATTAACTCACTTTTTTAGCTTGCTTGTAAAAAGCTTTAGATTGGAAAGAAATATCTTGACTTCGATTAATTAAATCATCCAGCCTTTCCCCACGTTGTAAAAGACTCTCAATAGTATTATGCTATCACCGAAAAAAAGAAGTACGAGTACATGTAAACAATAACAATAACAATAATCAACAACAACAACAACAACAACAACAACAACAACAACAACAACAATAACAACAACAACAAAGCAAGAAGATTAATACCAACCATAACCTGTTTTGTTTCATCCAACTGTTCTTGTACCTTCATTATCTGATCACCTTGTTTCGGATCCTGATATTTCGTCAAATACGTTTTTAACTCTGGGAACGGATTCTGATCTGCTTTCCAGGTGTCCTTTGGATATTTTATGAGAAATTCGTCAAGAAATTTGTTTATTAATGAGAAAGCAACTCGTTGTGGGTACTCTTTGTCGGCGATTATGATTCCTGTGACCCCTTCAACTCGTGAATGTGCATAAAAGACATAATCTATGAATATTTAAGAAAGATTGGTTAAGAAGAAGCTTGGCAATGTAAACCGACATAATGCAACAACACAACAAATGACTTTGGATTTAGTTAGAGAACGAGAATAATTAGGAGAAAGTATGGTGAGAAAGGGATAATCTATAGGGCATTCTTTTATTTTGCAATTATAGAGGGAGGAAGCTTCATAAGACTAAGTTACTAATCAAAAAGTGAGGGTAAAATCAACACCTTTCTCGGAAACACTTTGTCTCTGTCCAAGTTGAGTCCGTTGGGCAACGGTCTTTGAAAAGAAATTCATAAACTCTTGCACGCTAAACAAGCAAGACTGTTCTAGATTAGAAAATTTGTTTCACCGTTGAAAATTTACTTTCATTGCGTGTACAAACCATGCTCACCTTCCCCGCTGAAAAAAGCCAAAACTCGAAAGATCAAATTCAGCGGCTAGCCTCGTGGTGTCTTGAGTAGCAGTGGCCGAAGCCAAAATTGTGAGCGCGTATAATTTCATTTTAGATTTAGAGGAGTAGATAAATTACGTGGAGTCTACTCATTAACGAGCTTATATGTTTGGAGTATTCGTGTAACATCCATCATTAGATATGCATTGTTTATTTTTATTCATGATAATATTGAGAATTTAGAAATCATATTGTTTCTTGTTTCTCTTAAAGTTTCGTGTAAACAACATATGTTTCCAGAGATATAATTACTCGCATATGAATTTGCTCTTTTGATTGAATCCAGAATTCTTCTCTTGTTTCTCTTTGGTTGTGATTAGTTAGTATTTAGCTGATTGGAAAGCAATTAATAGTAATCATATTTTTTTTAGAGCTCGAGATCATCTCCATCTATTGAGAAGATATCAAGTGTCATCCGATCATTCGTCTTTTAATATTGTCCGCATTCTGTTATAACTACGGGTAATTTTGGCCGATTTCCAGGCCCTGTTGAAACATTCTCGATTTTTCTTAATGTGAGCAATCCATCTATGAGTTTTCCAAAGACCACATGTTTACCATCAAGAAAATCACATTTGGCGCATGTGATGAAGAACTGAATAATAGAAAACCAAAAAGCTTGGTCAATTAATGTAATTGATTTCATTATTTAAATATTCGTAAGTACATAACAAACAAATGACTTGCCTGACATCCATTTGTATTTGGACCAGCATTGGCCTAAATAAACAAGTGTATACATAAAAATTAACTAATGTCAAGTCGATTTTCCAAGAAAAGAATCGAATCAAACGAGATGTACCATAGAAAGAAGACCGGGTCCAGTATGTTTTAATGTAAAGTTTTCGTCAGCGAATTTTTCTCCGTAAATACTAAACAAACCAGTCCCATCTCCCTATAATATATATAAATGTACAATAAATAAGATAACGAAACAGCTGTCAAGTTGAGGAAGGGATTATGTGCAGATTTGAAAATTGAACAATCATCTCTACCTTTACAAAGTCACCGCCTTGCACCATGAAATCTTTAATCACTCTTATTCATGAAAAATGAAATCAAGAAAAATTAATCAAAAAGAGCTGATAATTAAGTCTAACGCGTCAATGAATCATCTCATAAAATGTAAACCTGTGAAATGTGGCTCCTTTATATCCCTGTGGAGTTCCATTTTTCCTTTAAAAATCAATCACGAGCATTAGGAAAAATGAGTACTAATGAAAAAAAACTATCATTCAACAAACTTACCTGTATTCACCTGTACACAGCTGCCTTTATAAACGAGTACGAGTTAATTATAGGATTGAAGAAAGAGTTGATCAAGCTTTTTCTAATTCACCTAAAATTCTCTGCAGTCTTTGGAACCACATCAGCAAATAATTCCATTTTCATTCGTCCAGCCGGTTGTCCACCGATAGATATATCGAAAAAGACTATGGGATTCTCTTTTTCAGACATGACTTATTCGCAACTCTAAAACAGGAATAAGATAAAGCAAACAGATCTTGGGTGAAATTATAATAATTTTTCGTGTTACATGACTCAAAAGTTTAAAATCGAAACTCGAGAAGTTGACTGGAACAAGCAGCACTTTTTTCGCTTCAACATTTTTGATTAGCCAAAACTTGCCCATTTGCCTCGAGGAGGAAAATCTAATAAAGATGCATCGAAATCATCTACATAAATCAAGGAATGGTATTGGGGTTTCTATGGACGACGAATTGAGAGTTGATGTACCAGCAGTCGATATTGTAGAGTTTGCGGGGGAAGATTTCAAACCCGAAGCATGTATGTTAGTTCGAGTAGCTCTTGTAAGAGAAATAGAGTTTTTTAAACCTCAAATAAAAAATCAAAAATAAAATATTTGTGTTGACCTTTGAAAAAAAAATTATTCTGCGTGATAAATTTTATTCTTGAATTTGGTCAGATATTCAAATGATCTTGTCGAGTACCTCTGAAGATGGTGTTCGGGCATTCTATGATAATCTACGTGAATCAAAGGAATTAGCGGCTAGTGATTTACAAAGAAATGTCTACAAAAATTACAACGAATTCGTCACGATATCTAAAGAAATATCAAATATCCTTTCCGAGATTTTTTATGCTTCTGATCGCACCTTCATTCTCTATGTATGAATTTTGGATATGAATTTCGTGATTATCGTTGACCTTTATGGGAACGTTACAGTTAGAAAGTGACATGTTTGTTTTACGTGGATTGCTCAATGAATTACGGAATGTGAGCAATAATTTACGAGAGGATAGTAGCGCTGAATCGGCCACTACTGATACTGGTGCGTTAAATACTATTTTCTTTGACATCATTAAAATTATGCACATTAATCTAATAACATGAAATATAGTAGCAACTGTCACCTCGGATCCCATTATTCCGAGAGGAAGAAAACCAGTGTCTAATAATGCTGCTGATCTGCAGTCAATCTGGAAGGCACAAATTGAAGCTCTTTGGGAAGGTGTTGAGGGAGCCCAGGTTTATCATTCTTTCTATAGATACAATGATGAGATTTATTTTTTTTGCTTTACTGCATCTTTAATATTTTTCTTTTTTAGAGACTTGTCCCACTCGAACCTGGTCGTCATATCATCCGTGAAAGTTCAAGCTTCGTTGAAATTAATCCGGCAACTAATAAACCGAAGCAAGGCGTACAAATGTTTCTATTGAATGATTGTTTACTGGTTGCTGTGAAGAAAAAACGTGGCGCCATGTCTTTGAAGGTTAAACTTATAGCTGAACGATGCTGGGGATTAAACGAGATCACCTTGATCGACATGAAGGATACTAGCGGTATGTTATGTGTCATGTCATGTAATTATTTGAATGTTTGTTGATGATTATATAAAATTTACGCTGATATGTTTTTATAAGAACATCAAAACTTGATCAAGATCCTTAAGCATCCAGTCGATACATTCATCTATAAAGCTGATAAACCTGAGGAAAAGAAAAATCTTATTAGCATGACTCGTCGTGCAGCAGAAGTGATGATGGTGCTAAAAACGAACGGTCTAGATCAAGAAAGGAATACCGGTTAGATTTTGAATATTGTTGTGATTTTTCACTTGATAAGAATTTTTTGGAGGATATGAGCTGACCACATCTCTGACTGATATCTTTTGATTGTCCTTAAAGATTCGATAATAAACGTTGTAAGCATCAGAATTCGCCTCAGATATTTTATTATAATTTGAATTTTTTAACTAATCAACTTTGTCCTCTAACAGCAAAATCAACAACTTTCACCGCTATTGAGAAGTATACCAAGGAGAAGTCGTAGTCCAGCATCTCCCTTGTTAGGTGCCCCAAGAAACTCAGTCGCTTCCAGTAAAGAGGTTTCATTGGGCGATTCTCGAGAGATTGCTGACTTGGCTGATCAACTGGATGTCAACATTGCACATAGGGAATATGATGAAGCAGTGGAAAATATTGAACGAGGTATAAAAATTTTGGTTCTAATTTATGTTATTTTTACATAGTTCTGCTTCATATAATTTTTATTTATCCAGCAAAGGTTATGCTCAATAATCTCTCGCTTGATCCCGGGAAGCTCGACGCCATACGTCGAAAGATGGACGAACGAGTAGTAAGATTATCGAATGCGATTGGTCGTGATCTAACAAATCCTGACCTAAAAAAATCTCAAGTGCAAAAAAATGTTCGATGGCTTTTACGTTTGGGTTATGGTGAACAGGTGAATACATATCATATTCATAAAAAATTCGTACTTGCTGAACAATCACATTCATAATGAATTTTATCCCAACTCCTCATACAGGCACGACAAATGTTTTTAGGTGCACGAAGTAAAATAATCCGAATTCAAACAAAGTATGTTTATATTTGTATAAACTTGATTACGAAACATGGAGTACATGGTTTGATGAATTATTGATACATTGTATTTTCAAAGACAATTAAAATTCGAAGGGGATATACCACGATATATCAATGATTTATCGCTTGTATATTTCACACTGGTAAAGAACACTTGTGATTGGTATAACGCTGCATTTAGAGATTTGCGAATGTCATCAGGTAAAAATCTCGTATTATCACTTTACTAGTATATCATCTCTTGACTTAATATTTACGACCAATCTTAGGACTTGTAAAGTGGGCGAAAGAAGAAATGGAACATTATGCCGGCATGTTTAGGCGACAAGTTTATAGCATGCACGATCCAGACGCTCAGATTTCTCAAGAATGTTTGAAAATTAATAAGGATCATTGCAGTATAGTAAGTGACATATAAAATTTATTCAAGTGACTTTGTAAACAACCGCAAATTATAGCCCTAATCCTTTTTTTGATCAGTTACGAGAAGTTGGTTTAGATCTGAAATTTTATCTAGACAAACTGTTGGATCCTAATGCTGAGCCTCCCGCTTTTAATCATGACGAAAGTGGTTACGCTATGACAGTGGTGATTGAAGAACCAGAAGCAGAGGGATCCCCCGATTTTATCATTGATAATTATGGATCAGCATTTTAGATTAAATTACCGAGATTATTGTACAATTTTGGATTTTATGTACCAGTTAATAGTTAATATTAGAGTTAGATTTTGTCTTCCCAAATTTAATTAATAGATTATTATTATTATTATTATTATTATTAGTATTAGTATGTTTATAGCTTTGTTAATGTAATAGTGCCTTAAATTGAAGATTTTGACTTGTCTTACAAGTAATCCGAAACGATCTTGAAATTCGATTTTCATTATAATCACACCCCATTTTCTAAGGAATGTGTGCGATAGGAATTACATGCAAACAATTTGCTTGAAAATTCATGTGTTAGTCTAGACAACCTTTAGAAGACAAAATTTTATATGTTGCTTTGTCCAAAAATAAATAAAAAGCTTTTTTTAAATTAGCACGTCATTTCACTAATTAATTAAATTATAATCACAGTCTATCGATTACTGTCTGCAACTCAGCTTCACTATAAATCCTAAATCCATGTTCAGGAGTCACGGCCGCAAGTTCAACATTAGTGTTATTTAATTTCTCTTCCATCACTTGTTTTAACACTTTTAGGGATAAAGTTTCGGCATTTTCCAATGTGAGAGACTATTCCAGATGAAATTAAAATACGATAAATTTTAAATAGAATCGGTAGATTTTCTTAATTACTACGAAAGAATGCGAATCGCTCGTTCATCCAGCCATCCGTACCTTATGATATTCTTCTTGCAACTCTGTTTGGGCTCCTTCTGACCCAGATCCAATGGCTTTAGCATCATATTGCACATAAGTGCCTGATGGATCGGTGTGAAATCTGAGTGCGTATATTGAATTGAACCGGATTCATAAATAAAAGTAATTTCTTAAAAGATTCAAGGCTTATTGACGATTGATAAACTCACAATTGCGGTCCTTTCTCATCAATTCCGGCAATCAGCAATGCTACACCAAAAGGTCTACTCTAAATCTCATAAAAATTTTAATGAGCAGAAAATAAAAAGGAACATCTTCTCATTAAATGCACACACCATAGTTGACTCCTCCCCATAGGCACTTTCACCAAATCTCAAAGCCAAATCGCATACAGCTTGCGCGACAGACTCCACTTTGATTATCTCATTATAAGTGAATTTATGATTCTACCAAGAAATCATTACAATTACTTTGAAAGATTCAACAATCATCAAATGAAAAAATACAAGCCAACACTTACCTGCGCTTGAACTCTCGCATGATCGATTAATGTTCTCGAGTCAGGAGTCAAACCGCTCATAGCACATCCCAAATGTTTATCAATTTCCATGATTTTTTCAATGCTACTCGATACCAAGAGCGGTGAGGTCACGCGTTTTTCAACGGCCAATACAACACCTTGGCTTGTTTGTATTCCTACTGCGGTGGAGCCCAACTATTCGACGTGAAGAATTCGTAGGCCCGTGTGGAATGATATAACCGGTGTAATCTTTTTATCATATGAAATGGGAACAGAATAAACACGAATGTACATTTTTACCTTGATGGCTTCTATGGCATATTCAACTTGAAATAAACGTCCTTCCGGTGAAAATGTGTTTACACCTCGATCGTATTCTGACCTTGTGAGAAACATTGCGAGCTTATAATTGAAAGAGATGAAAAATATCAACGTAAGGGCTCGAGTTGCGTAATGATCTACATTTTTTGCGCATCTGAAGATAATGTCCGTAAATTTGGCATTAACGTTAATGGTTGGCATTAAAAGAATCTCCTTTTTACATTACAAAAAATTTCGATTAATAATCCAGGGGTAACAAATGATATAACGAACTTGACCAAAATTATACTTTTTCTGATGGTTTTTTTTTTCGTTAAAAGCTGAGATCTTTACGAAATGGAATCTCGTAATTCCGGTGTAACAAATTACTATAGTGAACTTGGCGAAATTTCGATATTATTAACACGTCATTATCGTAAATTGCGGAACTTCCCTATACGCGACAATCGAAATTCTTGTTGCTTCTACAACTGCTCAAAACATTAGATCACAAATTAACTAACGGATTTTTCTTTATTGCCACTAAATCAAACTAATTTTTTTTAAATTCGTAAAATTCTCACGCACAATTCGGATAAGTTATCATAATTCAACAAAAAACCTGTAATTTATATATATATATATATAAAAGTTTTCAAGTCATAAGCCAGTTTCCTCGCTCGATTCTATATATCTCTCTCACGCTAAAAACCTTCAAATTATGACACCTATTTTTTGATTTACCCACTCTCCTCTAGAAAAATAAAATTTTTCGGATCTACGGATCCGAGTAATAAAGAGCGGTATTCTGCGTATTCTGCGAGAAAACTAGTCCTACTTCCATTCAATAACCCCTTGATTACGAAGTTTGACAGTGACTTCATTGTCCATCTTTTAATATCGAGAATTCTCACAATAGAAATTACAAAAGAAGCTTAAGAAAAAGCGATCAAAATAAATTGTGGAGAAGGAGTCTTGTGACTTTGTGAGAACACTCTTGCTGCTGTGACCGCTATCAAAAGCTATTTACATATAGTTGTGACATTTTGTGCTGCTTAATTTTATGCCCGCATATGCAGATTTATGAAGAAAATGAAACCTTAATTCCTTTCGAATGCACATTTATGAAAAAACTTAAACTTTATTAACAACAAAGAAATTGGAATAGTTGTTCGGAAAAGGCAAGAATTTTAGAATCTCAAATTAATCTATTAATAAATTATTGCCAAGAGGAACGTGGAGAGAGATGTCAAAATCTGAATGAGTAAAATTTTATTGCTTGAAAAAAGAATTCACAGGATAATGGGAAGGGAGTGACCTCCTCATTCTCTTTTTGTTTCTTTCTATTCTATATATCATGCCCCATCTTCCGTTTTCTATGGATAAATTTGTAAATGTATTATTTTCAAACCATTAACAATGAATTATTTAAACGTACTTGCATTTTGAAAAAATAAGATTGTCATCGATTATTGTTTGCTAATACTATGTTCGCATAAGACGAACTCTTTTTAATCCGTGTGTTAATCATTTGACATGTAAAAAAAAATGTTTTTGAATTCGTACCAAAATATACACTTTATACATATATGTTTCTTTGTTGTATTAAGGGCGAATTCGTAATTGAAGTGCATTTGGTAAGACCATTCTTGATTTCCTTCCGATGCACCAACTTAAAGAGGAGAAAAGTAACACCACATATTTTATACATACGTATATAACAAATCGGTTATTTTTTATCCTAATCATCTAATCCATAAATTAATTTCATACCAAAGCTCACAATTTCAAATTTCTTCTTTCGACGTGCGACGATAATTCGGCCAGTAAATCTTATCGCTGTTAGTTGTTGAACGTCGTATTAAAAAAAATTAAGTTTGCTGATACATTCACGGGTGTGCGTCCTTGTCTTATCCTCCATGTATCAAAGAACCTTGAATAGTTGCTTTTCACGTCAATCGCTCATTTATGGGATTTGCTCTGGCAGGATAATTTTAGATGGTTTTTCCGAACTATGAAATTTTTAATTTATTAATCTTCTTTTCAAAAAAGAAGATATTCAGCCATCGGGAAATAAATGAATACATTGATCGATTCTTAATATGTCAATCTTGTGTGAGACAACATGTAATACAATTTACATTTATGAAAAAATACGACGATCTTTATTTCTTTATAAGCCCTCTTTGCCCCCCATTGATTAAAATTTTTTTTGTCATTGATTAAAATTTCTGCCTTTTTTAGTTATATCATCTTGTTAAAAAAATTGCTAATCCAACTTTAGAATTATGATGTCAAATACAAATCGAAATGTACAAACAACTTGAGAAACATGACCCTTATGAATGTAAACAATGAAGATGAAGAGAGATTATACATCGATATTATTATTTTTTGCAAACATTATTAATCGAATATAACTATTTAAATATGATGACATTGTAAAATAAATTTTTAAAATTTGATGTGCATAATTTTTATTACCTGGAACTTTGACTTGTTGAGGCTTAAAACAGTTTAATCGAAAATATTTAAAAGAATAATTTAATCACAGAATTATTGCAACTCAACAGGGATATTTTAAACTTGTAAAAAAAATCATATATCATATCTTATATAAAGATTTATATTAATTAATATAAACAAAGATATTTTAGAATCCCAAAAGTTGAAATCTATTATAATAGAATAGTAAAAAAATTATCCATAGTTATATTACCAAAAATAGGTATATTTAAAAAATATGTTTATTCAAAACATTATTGGTTTAAAATAGTCAAACTATTTAAAATAGGATTACCGTGATATAGTAACTCATAGTTTTTTTGACGATGATAAAATGGATACATTCGAAAATGATGATAAAAATGGATATTTATAAGTCTAGGCTATAAATATATTTATGTATGATCATGCGCCCCTTATTTCTAAAGATTGTCCGTGTCGATATTCGAGCCATCTTCCGGACATCATGAACAGATTTTCAGGTTACATGGGGGAAAAACGAGTTTTTTCCTGTATAGAAGTCGTCATTACATTCCAGCTCCTTTTCCTCATCTTCCGAAACTGTAGTTTAGCCGCCGTAGTACATCTATCGTTATTGTAATAATTATAGCAAACAGTAGACAGTTTACTGCCACAAAAAAGCCTATGATTTAATTGAATGCGTGCGGGGTTAATAAGACGACGAAACACAAAAATCAATGTAAATTCTCGCAAAAATGAGGAGATACGAAATAGTGTTAAATGAATAACTTTAACCATAACTCCTATAATGTAAAATATATAATGATCCGATGCTTCATACAACCAAAAAAAAAATACATTTAAATAACGCGCAAGCACCCCTTTTCTACTTTGCCCGCTACCGCTAATTCTCTATCTTTCTATGTTTCTAGTATTATCATCGTTTTCCTCTCTTTTTCACTTCCTCATCTCAGAATAAACGAAAAAAACGCATCAATCACTTCTTTTACAGAGATTATTTGTAAAGTTTTCTTTCGGTTATTTTTTTCTCCACTTTTTATCATCAGTGAGAGACTCTAGCTGTTTCTCAATTCTTTTTGGAAAAGATGAAAGCTAGAGTCCATATTTTATCAAATAATCGCGTTTTTTTATGACCATTTTTTTTGGTGCGAGGATCATCATACTGTATTAACATTATTTACATCGGGCGGGAATTTGAAACCTTTTAATTTTTATCCCTATACGCAAATTAATTAATCTTTCATCACCACCACATCACAGCCATTGAAAGAAATCTACGGTAAGAATAATTAATTAACATCATCGAACTAAAAAAAACGTGTACTCTTATTATTGTTATTGTTATGAATTGATCATATCAATATAAGAATAATAATAATGCATTTTAAATTAGCTTTTTTTTAATAATTGGTAACCGCTCCGCTTATCAGTAAGCAAGATCAATAATAATTCAATTTTTGACACTTAGTATCAATGATTCTGATGAGTTTAACGAATCATTAATAGTTAATAATTTATAATAATGATGAGAAAATAATATTCTTTCAACATTTCAATTCTCTATTTCTATTACTTACTCCATTCGTTTCGGGACAAACAAATACACATAATACAATACAAGTAACTTTTTGTTTATTACACATAAATCTTTTCGTCTTTTGAACCTCAATCCCTTTACACTTGGAACAAAAACAAAAACAAAAACAAACACATCCATTATATATATATATAATATATTTTATACCTATATATATATATATATTTTACTCGTATTCACACTTATTTTAATTAACCGAACGTTACACTGGACTTTATTTTAATATACGTACATAACGAGAAACACAAACGCTTAGTCCGAAAGTGGTCAAATCTACCGAATTTTTTTGTGTTATATTTGACTGCTTCTGCCACCTTGCTACTTCCACATCTGCTTGCTCCTTTCTCACCGGGCAAAAGCAAATATAATAAAAAACAAAAGAGAGCTTCTTTTTATGTTTATTTATGATTTTTTTTCGACGTTGAATTTATTATAATACAACTTAAATAGATTTAATTTTTTCTTTTTTTATCAAAAACTTATTATTTCCTTACTTATATAGAAGAATTATTACCAATTTATTCATGAACGCATATTAACAACAATTTATCCTTTATTCATAATAATAATAATAATAATAATAATCATAATAATAGCTTCCCTCTATCCCTAACAAATTAATTACGATCAATTCCTAATATAACCTTATCAACGACAAACACCTCACGAACAAACATTACTTCTCCCTTACTCTTCTCGTCGCCCATTTCATACAACACAAACATGTCTTCGCATTCGTCTACATCATCAACACCGAGTGCAATACATTCTGTGAGTATCATTTAACTTCAAATATTCATTCAAATGTCATTCGCATGCAAATTAAACAAACCTATTATCTCTCTATTTCGCTATCTCTAGCTAATATTCTCGACAAGTTCGATAGCCACAGCATCAACATTCGGCCAAGTAATCGCACGACAAAGCAACAAAAAGAACAAAAAGAAGCCGGTTCCACGTCCTCATCCCTCTTTTCCAATTTTATCCAGACCACCACTGTCACGACGGGCGTCCGAATCCAATAATGACACAACAGCAACCAAAAAATCCGCGAACAATAAGAATAACAACAAAAGTCCATTCAAACCTTTCAAAATCTTCCGCTCAAAAAGTAAAAGATCCTCGAAAATCTCGTCCGCGGGTTATAATTTACCGTCCACGACCCCATGCGACAATTTAGCATTAGACGATGATATGTCCTCTACTTATTCCGAAGTTACAAGCGTTTTGATTGGTACACGTTCGGTTCCAAATTTGCCTTCCTTAAATATACCGTCTCATTCGGATAATTCACCTGCTCTGTCACTGACCGGCTTTAAACAACATTGTCTACAAGCCGAGACATTACATGAAGAGGATGAAGACGCGATGGTGAATGGACCACGTCAAAAACAGCGAATTGAGATGGAAATCGTGTCCAATGACGAATCCGATGAGGAATTGGATTGGGATGGAAAATTGGTTGTTCCGACTCAAAATTCGGTACGTCGATCCTCTTTGCCCGCTCCAAATCAAACTGCCACGGCGGCTCAAAATAAACGTCATCATCGTACAATGTCACTGCCACAAGCCTCAATTCAAGATTTGCCAAAGAGTTTGTATCATCGTCAACCAACTCCCAGTGAAATCTGGGACGATGATTTTGATCTGGTGAATATGCGAGAAGTTCCGGTCCCTACAAGGGTTGAAGAAACTCAACTTTCTATACGGATGGATCTCTCTAATATTCGTGATTTCACAACGCAGATCGAAGGTGATTTTCTTTTAACACGTTATTTCTTTTACGTGTAATATGTTTTTTTAAACGCGCGATTTTATCCATACCAATTGACTTACCAATTTATCTGATTTTTAGTGCTGAAAACTCTACGAAACAAAAAAGGGGAACTAGCATCACACGTTCAATCTCAAGTCGCAAACACCAAAAAGAAGTGGAAGCACGGATTAATTAGAAACGATGAAATAAAGACACTCAAAAAGCTCGAAGAGGCCTTCAAAGCAGATTGGGAAGAAGCCAACGTAATTATCGATATTTCGGAAATCGCGCAAGATCAAACACCGACTTTTAATGGTGGCAAAAGCGTGGAGCTTGGTATTGAACAGGTTCCCTCTGAACGGCATTTGACCATCTTACGAAAGATAATTGACGAACAGTTGGGGAATAGTGTTAGTATTAGTGGCAATGATAATATTAACCATCCCAAAAGCTTATTTCAAATTGATTTCGGTGGTAATAACGCCGGCATCAGCAACAATAATGAGAGTACGATTAACAATGATGAGAACAAAGAGAATCAAATGATGGATATTATTGCAACAACATCAACCTTCTCTCACGAACAAACAAGTCAAATATCCATCGACACCACCAATACTGCTGCTACTTCATCCAAAAAAGCCAAGACTGGATTCAATGCATGGAATGGCTTCTACGGTCTGAAACGCAATAATAGCGGACAAGTAATAGGTCATGCTTCAAAAAAGAAACGACGCGACAACGTGCGAATATCTGTGGACGAAATGCCTAGTTTGATCGAACATTTGCATAAATTGCAAGAAAGGTTATCGAAACACGTTGACCAACTGTCACAGTTATCTGCATGATTGATTCCAACATAATCTACCTACCATCACCAAATATTATCTCCTTCGAGAAAACACCACCACTACCACCACCACATCCACACCCACATCCACAAAATCAAAAGAATAGACTAATAATTAATAGCTAATTAATCGGGAAAAAATAGAGAGGTTTTCGGTATATATAAAATACTTATTCTTTTTCTTGTAATATTTTTTCTTATATATTTTCTTTTTTAATCAATTATATATACCACACTCATACATCATCTTCAACAAAAAACCTCTCGCACACTTTTTCTCTTCTAATTTTTAATTTTGAGGAAAAATTAGTTATTTAATCGATTCAGATTCACCCTAATACAATCTTTGCCACATCGTCCTTTGCATATATGCATAACTCATTCTTTCTATTTTTTGGTTATATCTTTGATCTTATCACAATTTTATCTGTTCAAGTTAAGTATATAGATGCTATTACTTCTTGTCTTTTATTTTCATAACCTGGATACAATCCAAATTTTTAATTCTCTACGACGACAATGATCATCGAGTCTTCATCTTTTTCATAACCTCACCCGCGTTGTTCATCCTCGCATATAATTACAACCATCACTTTTTGGGTGTAAGAGTTAGTCATATTTTTATTGTAACCACTATATTACTAGGATGACTGACTAGATGGATGTCATTCGATCATATACGTGGTGATTTTGCTGATGAACAAGCGCGTAAACTCTCAAAAATTAATATATGATATTTTCGCGATTTTCACTTTTCCTCTATTATACTTTGTATTATTATTTATTTATTTATTATTATTATTATTATATTATATATATTTTTTGTTTTTTTTTGTATTATATTTTGTTTCTTTTTAATATTTTCTTTTCTCTGTTTATATTTTTTTCTTTTTCCCTTTTTTTTTATTTTATTATCATAACCACCAATAGTGTCTTAAATGACACATTATGCTTTTTCTTACAAATTTATTTCACTTTTAACGATGAATGACCACCTTCATTCTTCTCGTTGTCTGTCGTCTTTTTGAGGGTTATAAATAAAGCATCTATATAATTTTATCTCTTTTGGGTCTCTGTTTCATATCATGTACATAAAAAAAATAGACACTAAAATTATTTTTTTTGTGTATCTTCTATATATATATATACCATGTATGTAGTTAATTTAGTTATCAAAATATCTTGATGATAACAATAAAAAGATGTAAAAAAAATAAAAATAATTTTTGATTGTTCAAATAATAATCTTTTTTTTAACAATGCTTATTTTGTCTTATTCCAATAAGTTAATACGCTATTTATAGGCACGAAATACGAATGCGAATTGGGGCAGAGTCATATTGCTGTCATAATTTCTAACACTAATATTTAAAAAAGCTTATTGGGAACATATAAAGTACAAGTATAAGAACATTAATTTCCTAAAATCAGTTTTTAATCTTATAAAAAAAATTACTTCGATATTGTAACAAATTTCTATTATAACATTTTCTGTGCTTAAAGACAACCACCTGATTATTTAGAAGCCATTCATTCACCGCCAATTTCATTATCGAAGCTTAATACAGATTATATTGCCCCCATAGACCCATCTTGTTTTGTTGTTAAGATAGCAATTTTTAGAAACCAATGAACGATTTTTCTTCTGAATAAGTTATGTTTTAAAAAAAACGCGTGATGTCCCTTTCGCGTCATACAAATCCTAATTCAAAGATAAAAAAACTAAGTTCCTCACAAAACCCATGTAAATTTAGCGTTAATGCTAAGAATTGATCTTTTTGTTTGCGATCTCGTCTACACTAGCTCATTTAAAGAGAACACGATATTTAAAGATTATGATGTTTTACAAAAATTGACTTCACTTCAGAAATCCAATTTATGATGCTTGGTCTGTTTTCTTTAATTTACACTTTTTGACACATACATGTACCTATAATTACTATGAATAAAAAAGACGCAGGCCATCAACTACTTACATCATGTGAATACCCGCTTTGTATTGTCGCTATTTTTTCATTTTAGACCAATTATTCCGGCTGCATACTTAATTAGTGCGCCAGTCCAACAAGATCTCATCCAGTTCTCGTCGTTTACGAAATTTAACAATTTGACTAGTGTCCATCTGCGGAGGTTCCTCTAGTAAGTTGATATGTTTATTTTTCGGCGTTCGATAGGAATCGAACTCATTTCTGAGCAAGAATAGTTTAATTGTGTAGCAAGCGGTATTATCCGACGGGCTTAAGTCGTTAAATACGTAACCCACATCAGCTAATTGTTCGTCCGTCAAGGAAGAACGATCCAGGTGATACATGTTATAATGACTGTTTGAGCCACTGTTCGTTGAAAAGAGCTTTGTGATTTGCTGAAATCATGTATTCTAATAATCACCATTGCAAGACTAAACTTTTTTGAGCAAACAGAATTTGGTGTTGCCACAATTCATAGCATTATAGAAATTAAATTTCATGAAAGGCTTGCGAGATGAATTGGAACTGATTGACTATTCACAAGAACTGAAATTCTTTATATCTAGTGTGAGTTTTCCTCATATACTTGAAATTCTTTCTAGTAAACTGATAAGTATGATTATATCTTTCGTCATAGTTACGAAATATATTCTCATTCTCGGGAGTAGAATCTCGTAGCATTGATGATGAATCATTAATATTAGCATAAAATAAGTCAAGATACGGAAAATATGAATTCTAAGTATATGTGGGAACATTATCCTGGTCACCTTTCAACGATGAGATTGTCATTATTGTTATTGTTGGATGTTGCATCTTTTCGTTTTTCATTTGCGATAAAATCTTTATTCTCAAATATCATTCAATAAGAAACAGTTGTGCAAAGAAAAATTGTAGTAAAGAGCAGGATCAATCAAATGATCTGGCTGTGGGTGCTTTTGAAAGTTACCGATATACAATATCGCTATATAAAGATAAATTAACAATTAACAAAAATGTATCTTATCACATGTATATAAGACGTGGGATTTGGAATTCAGAATATCCAAAGCTTCTTTATATATACAAAGGTTATAAAATGTCTATTCTTCGAAAAAGTTGAATAATCCACCCCTTTAATTAAAATTATTATTTAAAATAATAAAATAATTCTATTTAATTTATTATATTCTAACCCTTAGCTTATCTTCAATATTTTCTGCCCGTAACGTTGGTCGCAATCGAGGCACCCTTTAACCGATTTTTTTTAATGAATTTCTAAACCCGCAAAATGATGACGTGGGGGGGGGGGGATACGGTAACTATTAATCATTTCAAAAATAACGCGCAGGGGTATATTTTCGAATTTTAAGTTTAACGTTGTGATTCGAAATAATGCGCATGGGTGCTATTTCGCGAAAATACGGTAATATTTATCGTTTATATTTATATCTCTTATGCATAAAATTTTTTCGAGTAATTAAAAAATAAAAGTGAACAAAAATTTTTGATGTACATATTAACCGGACCTTAGATTTGTAACATATAAATGTTTAAATCGAGTGTTTTTCACGAGACATAGACCAGTTTTAAATAGGTCTAGTCCAATCTGTTCGACTGTCCAGTTCAATAGAGATCCAGTTAACAGCTCCAGTCTAATACGAGATTTATCATGGATTTTTAAGTACCACCCAAAAAAAGTCGAATCAGCAGTTTAAACTAATATACGTATGTTATATATTATAAGTTTTATTCGTATTCTTTAATCCTCATTAGAATAGAAATACTTGAATTAAGCAACCCCTTCCACAAAATTTCGTTTGGTTTTTCTTTACGCTATCAATACTTTGCTTACGATCAGAGACACAGATAATCAAAATTCTTAAACCTATTCACCAGTAACTTTATTCCCAATTTTGTAATTCGTGCAATATTGTTATATATCTGGCTGCTCCGTTGAAACAAGGCAATCAAAATCCAATATGCCGGTTTATATGCCTCTGAACCACATCCAGACTATATTACATAAACAATCGACTTTCGTCTTTATATAATCACCCGAGTTTATTTCAGCTTCCACAACCCACAATTACACGTTCTGAAGCTTTTGAGAAAAAGTGTTGGCGTCCACTTAATATGCAATTGATGGCCTTCTCATTCATTTGCCGAATCATTAACGACAATAATAACGATATTGAAAGCTAATACTAAATTTAGAAAATAATATTTTTTGTGTGAATATTTTATTTTATAACGCTTTTTCCTCTGACATCTATCTTTAGTTATGGATTAAAAGTTATTATGATATCTTTAGTCCTTCATATTTTGTCTGAATTATCTTGTATAAAATTAACTTTATAGATTTGGTATATTTACGAAAAATTTTAAATTTCAATTCATTTTCTATTAAGACGTAATTTTTGGTACTATTAACTGTCAATATATTGTGAAGTGTCATCGTCACCTAATTCTTTTCATCCTGCACAAGCAGGAACATTGGTACTATCTTCCATAGCACAATCTTACAATATAGCAATCATTCTTTTGTCTGTTATCATTCTGTTTTAGTTCAATAGACAATATATGTAAGATAAAAGTTAAGTAGAGGCTCTGCTTACCGATTTCTATTCGAATAATTCAGCTTAATTAAAATCCATTCAATATATGTAAGATAAAAGGTAAGCAGAGGCTCTGCTTACCGATTTCTATTCGAATAATATTCGAATAATTCCGATTAATTCGAATATCCAGTGAATAACTAATATTCAACGAATAAAATAATTTATCCGAATAGATTTTTATACAGTCAATCCTTTATAGCGGCGCGATATCTACTGAAATCAGCTAAATACATAAAACTGTACGCAATTTTATTTTGATCTTATTGATGGCCCAAGAACCATTCGTTTTATACCTTTTTCGTTAGCTTTATCAATTAAAAATGCTACTATTAAAATATATAATTCTTATTATATCGATGAAATAAAACGAATAACATAGTAAAATAATATGATAAAATATAACAAAAGAAAAGAATTGCGCTAAAAAAAATGCTCTAGTTTGCGACGGATTGTGCTAAAAAATGGGCTGTAATTACGCAATCGATCGTGCTGAAGAACATACTGAAATTTGTGATTGTTTGTATTGAAAACATACTGAAAAATAGGCAGTTAGTGGGACAGAAATTAAGGGTACAATATAATGATAAATGTTAGCGTAATCAAAATGAACAGTGACTATAAAAAATATGATTAACAATATCATACAAGTATCTAAAAGATTTTATCACACCTTCAAATATTATTAGAACAGAAGAATTAAGGTATAGACAAAGGGTTGAAAGCTAGACTGAATGATGTTTCTTTTTAAATGTTCAAAAGATCTCCTGCGCCAACCTTTACGAATGCTAGTTTAACACAATCAAATGTAAATATACCAAAATAATTCAAAGAACTTGGTTTTCATGGCCTTCCAAAAATAAAAAGTGTAATTTTAAAATAAAATTAATTCCGAAAATAAAATATATTACCAAATAATTAATTCACAATAATCAAAGGCGGCTTATTTAGAGTAGAAGTCTTCTACTAGTTGTACACAAGGTTTGAAGTAGTACTTTAAGAATTAATTCTTTAATTATTTCCAAAGCATTTAAGTAATACTTTTTACAAGAATTATTTTATTATTTCCACACATACTTTTTGATCAAGCTAAATCTAAGATAAATGTTAAAATAAATATTAAGATAAATATTTAAATAACTGTTAAAATAAATGTTAAGACTTACTATAATCCTAAATACATAAATTATGAAATTAGCGAATTTAAAGTTATTATATTTTGACGAATAATTATTTGAGAATTTTATATCCTATTCGAATATTCTTCGAATAAGGATATTCGTCGAGTAACAAACGCGAATCTGAAGCTCTAAACAGAGAAAGAATAAAAAGAAAATCTACATAAGAATAGAAAATTTAATATCATGTCATCTTTAATCTTATGCAATAACGACGGTCGGATGCAATTCTGGCTTTCCTCGTCTTCCAGGTCACCGTCACCTAGCGTACTTTTTGAAGTTGACCCTTATATAAAATCAAATTCGATATTGTTCGGTTCAAAATCAATTACAAACGTTTTTTCCAGTGTTACTAGAGACGTGTCATCGGATGTAAGTTTCTTAAAGGCCAACTAGAATTTCCTTTGGATTGAAGGCCATCCATCATTCCATATCCTTAATAAATTGAACTTCGATATACCTTTGCCATTGCATACAGTGTCCGGGGTCTTATTCACGAACCCCGTTTTTTAAATTGAAGAGTACCCGTGGATATTTCGTATAGAACCGGGTAATATATTTGGATATAAATTATATTCAAAGTTAATAAATTTACATGTAATATAGGTTATATGGTATTATCAAGCATTAGGGCCAACATTGGTGGTGAAGAGTAGGTCTTAATTATGAGGGATACTATTTTATGGGGTACTGTATCACTGTCCGAGGGATTCAGACAACTAGAAAGATTTTTATATCATCACTTTGCTAACAAATTCGTTATATCGAATAGCGTTTTATATAAACTGTTTATACTTCAATCAGATTTCAATCATATCGAGTATCCGTTATAGAGACGTATGCGAACGCCGTAATTGGCCCATCATTTGCTGCGCAAGATGTAGAAAACAGAAGTTCTCAATAATATGAAAGCAAAATATGTTACATTTTAGTTGGTCATTGCAGAATACAAAAGGCAAATTCGATAAACCGACGTGCTTGGGACTATTGGTAGAGATTTTAAAAAGGTGGATTTAGGATAACTATTCCTGGAAACAATTTCAGTTTATTCACATTTTAATTAGCAATTCGAAACTCCTTTTTCCTTTGCAGAAAGGAATTTATTCTTCTATCTCCTAGTATTTCATCCTGTAGAAAATAAATTTTATTATCTGTTGAATCGATTCGGATTCGAATCAGCTATTTATTTATATTCGAAACAAAAGATAAGATTCGACGAATCGAGTCAAATTAGTGCTCCCGAACTTTCTAAAAACTTTTTTTTGATCCAAGCAAAAAATACAATATCAGAATATAATGAAACACGAAATCAAATTATTAGAGAAAGAATGGTTGAAAAATGATGGAGAAAATATTCACAAAATATTTGTAATACTATACTAGAATGAGTGAGAAGGCATGGTTAGGTACATTTGGATATTTCGGCTACACTGTCGATTATGCATTATTTATGATTACTCGTAATGCATTTCCATTTTGTTAGAAAGAAGCTCTTATGCTTCAGCCTAGCCATTGAAATTTCTCATGGCATTATTAGTTGAATTCGAATTATTAGAACATGTTATAGGGGCATCCATAATTTACGTTAAATTGGAGGGTATCAAGCCAATTAACAGATTATATGTGAGTATATTATCAATCATTTAACGTGGAAGGGGGGGGAGAGCAAAAACTTTAACGTAATTTGTGGATGCTTCATAACGGTCAAATAGGAAAAGAATTGGCATGCAGAGTTAGAATGTTTCATGCAGGATAACAATGGACAATATAAGTAACACAACTAACGGTTTTTTAGAAATGATATGACAATGACGATCTGTTTGACATTATAATGTCTACAGCATCACCCGATGTACAGAGGGGTAATTAAAATATTGAAATTTTTTCTTTATAAAACTTTTTAATCTTGCTTATAAATAATCTATATTTTAAAACATATTTTTTTTGTTCTAATTGCAAAGTAATCACAAAAACTTTTTAGACTTTTGTCTTTACTTTGATATAAAAACAAAAATATTTATTAGCAAGATTAAAAAAAGAAAAACTTTCAATATTTACTGTGCTTATTAATAAATTTTTACAATCTTCTTAATTTTTGTCACCACTCTGTACTTTCCAACTTTATTGAGACTATGGATTTTAATGATGTGTTCGAAAAACTATCATGTGGTAATTCAAATCAGCCTGTTCAATACTAATATTCGATCTATTAAATTCGCACATATAATATCACAATATACCAATTCAGGTCAAGGTACACAACGCTCAAAATAAATAATTAAAAGAATCGATCAATATTAATGATTATCGAATAAACAATTCAGTTTTTTTGCCAAGATGTGTACAAAAATTTTTTTATTTAATTACCGTAATTCACCGCATAAACTACTCGGGGTCTTTACATTTTATCAAAAAATTTAATTAGTAAAAATAGAAAACGATTAATGAAAAGGGGGGAGGGGATAGTTTATGCGTAGTTACACGATTATTATATATTTACATGTATAACTTGCCTAATTTATATAAAGTTCGTTTGGATCATTTTCGATGGAAGTGAAAGAGTTGCGAATCAAATCATTATTAACTTCCGTGTAACTTCCTAATATATAACCAGAATTTATTAATGTCGTTCGAAGAAATGTTAAAGAAAGGTTTCATTTTCCATATGGGATCGTACCATGAGTCACAATCTTTGCAATCTCCAACATTTTCTTGATTCTCCGTTATTAACCAACTTAGGTAAATAACTAAACTAAATGCGTCATTCCGAAGGAATATTTTATCGTACATACTGTATTAATCACATAGTTATTAAATTTTATCTTCTTCTTCTTCTCTTGCTCATGTTTATTATGAATTTCTTTCACTATTCCTCTTTCTCTTTCGACTCAAACACTTAATAAAATAACGGGATAACTCGTGTTTTTAACGAAGTAGTACAGAATAACTTTTGGGGTACTCTTTAGATCGGTGCTTTTATCTATTGCATTAACAAGTTGTACAAAATAACTTTTGGGGTACTCGTTTATTATGTAACATTTAATATCTGGTATTCGTATTTAGCGTTAGTGTCTTCCCCGTGTAACGGAAATTTTCAGCCCGATCACTTTTGGGGTACCCGTTAACCACCAATAAATATATAAATACAGTGAAGAAGAGCTGCATAAAATTTTCTTTATGCCTTCTCCCTTTTCCATTTAAGATTTTTCATTATTTACGATAAATTCATATACACCTACCTAAGACGATACTTTGCCATTTCTAATTTTGTTAGGATGAACGAACCAAATAATAAAAATCGCGTCGTCATTTTTTATTGTTTTCTCTTATGTTTATTACAAATACCGACATTAACAAATGCACACGGAGGTATTGATGATGGGGATTCAGCAACCCCTACAGATGCTCCCTCGACCCACAGCGGATCATTAGCTCAGGGAAATATTGGTCTCGGATTCGGATTGACTGCAATTGCAGCGGTCGCATGTGTAATTGGCTCATTGGCTCCATTCCTCGATGATCTCTTTCCGCTACTCCCATTCCTAAAAGATTTTCGCATCACTCAGTCAAAGGGGTTCTTGGCCGGTTCACTTTCTCTGGCTGCTGGTATTCTATTAAATCTAGCATTGGGAGATTTATTTCCGGAAGCAGTTTCCGACTTTAGCACTTCGAATTTGTTTCCAGCGAAATGGAGTCGAATGGTTGCTACGGCTATATTTGTTGTTACTATTACTCTTTTGATCATTACCAAAAAAATATTCGGCAAACATGCTCATATTCACCAGCATAGTGACTCTAATGATAATGTCACTAAAGAGAATCTAACTAACATTAATAATAACGAGAAAGTTGACCACCAAAGTCATCAAACTAGTACCGTTCAAGATTCGCAAGATTTGGAAGCAAAGAGACTAAAGACTCTTGGAATTCAGATTGCTATTGCTTTGACGATTCAGTAAATTTTCTTTTATCCAATACATTCATTATTAGCATCCAATAAGAAATGCATTAACATTATTATTTATTACAGCAATTTCCCCGAAGGATTAGCAACATTTGCCACAACAATAGTATCTTCTGATATTGGCATCCTCTTTGGTATTGCACTTGCATTACAGTAAGTAAACGTCAACATCATTCTAGTAACACATGATATAAGTATTAACTAAATTTTAAACCATTATTATCCAGTAAATTTCCTGAAGGTTTAATCGTAGCACTACCAATTTATTATGCAACCGAATCCCGATGGAAAGCATTCATGATCGCCGCAACTGCTGGCGCAATTTCACAAATGCTTGGGGCATTATTCGGATACATTGTTTTCGTTACATATTGGAACGATGCAGTTCCGGGATTCTTGTTCTCAATCGTGTCTGGTGTTTTATTGTACACTGTTCTCCATAGTATGTTACCGATGGCACGTCACTATGATCCTGAGGATCGGTATTGTACCATTTGGGTATTCGTTGGTGTCTTCTTCTTCGGAATTGTTAATTCGATCTTTGATGTTTCTGGTGCTGATGCATGATTTAAACACGCGCATGCACCATCACTTAACAAGCAAATTAATTTTTTTCTTTATATTAATATCAAATATTTTATAGTAATAAAAAAAACCAATTATTACCAATTTACATATATTCATATCACATACATATAAGCGATTATCAGATATTTTTGTTTAATAGTTTGGATTTTTACATACAAAGCCATTTATTCATTCTTTTAAACATACGCGTACGGAATTTTGTGTATATTTTCTTTTTACTTTTTTGGAAATCAACACACACAAATTATATGCTATAATTCCTAAGAAATATTTTAAGACATCTATTATTTAAATTAAAATATATATATATATCCAATATCATCTTCAAATTTAAATTTAGTGCTGTGATTAACGGTCGACTTGTGGTAACCAGGTCAGATTATATTGAATAACGATAACGATAAAAATTTTTTAGTTTAAATCTTAACAGTTCATAGTTAGCATTAATGTATATTATAATGACTATTACCCAGCAAGTTGAAAAATGTGTACTTTGAGAAAAAATATCCATCCTAGAACCAGATATTAAAAATTCGAATTTTAATATTAAATATACAGAGGCTCATGAAATAAATGTAACACGAAAAAATTCTAGTGACTCTAACATCGACTAAATGTGCCTGGTTCCTATACTCATTCTAAAACTAATAACCTAGAAATTGAGTGATCTACATGAATATTTTAAATTTTAACCTCAAATAGTTTTGCTATCAGAAGCGGATTGACCTAATAAAAATGGACTTCTTGATGAGAATTATCTACATACCATGAGTCACTGTATATCGTTCCAAACTCTCTCTTCTTGATAAATTAGTTTTGAGAGGTTATCAGATTTAAAAGATTTACAATCACGAGACTGCAATGATTTTAATAGGAAAACTTCTTTTTTATCTTAGACAAATTTAAAATACTTTCATTATATCAATTATATGCATTTTCAACTTTACATTAACATGATTTATGGTTAGAAAAAGTGATATTTTTATTATTACAATCTTTCAATATTAATAAACTGTTAAGCTAAATGATATATTAATAGTTTATTATAATTTTAGCTTTAATATTTCATTATTTACTGAAGTTTATAGAGTTTGGCATGTATTTTTAATTATTACAGAAATATTAAATTAAGTATTGAAAAAACTTAAATACAAAAATTACACTTAAATATTTACTTATATTATATTTTTTATTATTATTATATATAATTGATCCTGTCTAAATACATACTGTCTAATTACATATATAATTTAATTGCATAAAATATTCATTAACAGACTTGGTTTCTAATAATTAATACATAATTTCTTTATTTGTATAATGCATAAAAAAATTCAATCTATTTCTCAAAAAGTTATAATAAATTTTATGTATAGTTTCTTTAAGACACAATATTCTGAAATTTAGTGATAAGATATATCATTTAATTCTCTAGATTCTGATAAATTGAATAATAAATCTTGAGATATTAAACTTCAAAGAAATTATATATAATATTATGATTCATATTAATATTAGATTATTCAAATTTAATTTATTTTCTTAATGATTTTACTTATAATAATATAGTGATACTTATTTTAAGATATTTAATATTAATAAATTTTCAAAAAAGATCCATTAGAAATAACTTTTAATTTTTATTTATTTATTAAATTATTAATATTCTAAAGTATTTATAATAGTTTTTCTTTTAAACTATGCTTTTTAATTTAACATTATCATTTATATCATATATAAAAAGATATTTTTAATATTATATTTTTTTAAAAATAATAATTTTATCTTTATTTAATAGAATTGATATTTGACTATAACTAAAATGGCCAAAATTTATTAAGAAAAATAAATATATATTAAAAAGAATTTGAATTAAAATTCTAATAACAGAATTCTAAAAAAAATAGAATTTTAAATAAATAAAATTTCAAAAATAAAATCTGAAAGAATAAAATTCTAAAAATAGAATTTTAATAAAATATAGAATTTTAAAAGAATATAATTCCAAAAATATAATTTTAAAATAATTTTTATTTTTAATATAATCTATATTCTGAATTTAATTCTAATCTTTACTACTAATCTTTTTTCTATTATAATAATTAAAATATTTTTTATATATAATAATAAATTTTAATAATTCTTTTTTATAATTTAGTAAATATAATATAATTATATCATATTTACTTAGCTTAGATTATGATATGTAAATTATAAAATTTAAGTTATTTAAGTAATAGATAAATTATAAAACTCAAGTTACTTGAATAATAGGTGAGTTATAAAACTCAAGTTATTTAAGTGATAAATAGATTATAAAACTTAAATTACTTAAGTGATAGGTAAATTATAAAACTCAAGTTATTTGAAATAACTTATATATTTTTTAAAAAGTTATATTTAATATTAATAATATTTTAATTACTTATATAAATTTTTATATATCAGCTAATCAATTTTCATTAAAAAGAAATATTTAAATTAGATTTTGATATCTCAAATATGATTCTACTTTATTACTAAATTTAATAATATTATTTATATATTAATTTAATAATCTTGATTATTTTTAATTATAAGATACTTTCTAATTTAAATTATAATATCTTTCTTTTATATTTTTTATTATAATTTAAATTTAATAATATTATTTATATATTGATTTATTTATCATAACTAATTTTTAATATTATCTAAATATATTATATATATATTATCTGATTACATTATTATATAATATCTAAATATATTAGTAATATATATTATCAAATATATATTATATAATTAATATCAAGTATATTATATTTTTATTATTAGATATATTATATTTCTGCTATCAGATATATTATCAAACATATATATAATCTTTGTTATATAATTATTATTAACTAATACTATCAAATATACTATATATATTATCTGAATATACTATATATATTATCTGAATATACTATATATATATATATATTATTAATTATATTATCTAATTATATTATTAAAATATATTAAATAATACTATCTAATATATTATTATATAAATATTATATTAAAATATATTAATATTTTTGTTATAAGTTATTATTAATAATAAGTTATATATTATAATTATTATTAAGTATATTATATTTTTGCTATTAAATATGCTATATATATATTATTAAGTATATTATTAAGTAAATAATATTTAAATATGCTATCAAATATATTATTAAATTAATTTTACTTATATTTAAAAATATATTATATTAAAATATATTAAAATTTCTTGTCAAATTTTTATTTTTAGTTAATTCTAGCTTAATTCTAATTAAAATTTTTATTAAAATTACTACTAAATCTAGCTTTTTAACTTTTTAAAGCTATTTGATTTTTTTCTTTTATCTTTATTCTTAGTATTTTTAGTAACTCTAAAAAAAATAAGATTCTAAAAAAAAATTATTACTTTATATATATATATCTTATATATATATAATAAATAAAGAAAAATAAAAAATAAAAAAATCAAGATTTTGTTAAATTAACTAAAATTACTAGAGATAACTATTTAAAAAAATTTAATAATCTGAAAAATATTAAATTATTAATCTTATTTTTATTTTTAATTATTTTTTTTTCTAAGATCAGTTTTTTCTAGAAATAATAAATAATATTTTAATTTTATCAAGAATTTATATTAAAAATTTTATTATTTATCCATTTTATGTTATTTTAAATAGTTTATTTTAGTAATAATATATTTTAATATGATATTTTTTAGTATATAAATTATATAATTTATATATTAAAATAATTACTCTATTATATTATTTATAAAAAATATATTAATATCTTTTTTAATAAATAGTATATTCTTCTTGTTGATAACAGAATTAATTATAGATTTTTTTTTAATTAATAAAGATAAGTTCTTATTATTGATTATTATTTATTAAAATTTATTTGATTTAATATGATATTATTTTAAATAAAAATATTTAATAATTATTTTTGATTTAAACTTTTTTATCAGAGTAATATATAATAACTATCAAAAGTAATATAATACTTAAATTTTTTACTAATTATAATTAGTAAAATATATGATTTTTCTTATATATAAAAG